GCTTTTGGTAGCACAGGCTGACCATCATTATTCCGCACTTTTCTGCATTTAGATTTCATTTATCAGTTTCAGCTTTGGCAAGCCATCTTTGCTTTGTAAATAAGACTGAGCCGAGGTTTATCAGAGTTTGTTGAAACTGAGTTTCACATTCAATTAGGGCTTAGTTTCTAAAAATCAGAAGTGCCGGAGCCCTACTAAAATCTTTCAGGAAGAAGGGAAAATATAAAGTAACTAATAAAAAATAAAATGACTAATATTTAATAATTAAATAATAAAATTAAAATCAAAATTCAATAAAATATAGAGACATAAATAAAATATAATAAATTCATGGTAAATAGTTAAATAAAAGATATAAAATATCTGGCCTCATCTTTTTTGAAGCTCTGGCTGGATTTAAATTTCATTCTGAAAACTAAGCAATAGTTTGGGCGTCCTCTAACTAATTCAAGTCCTGACTATACGGTATAACGTACTATTTCAAGGGATGAGAGAAACAAAAACCATTCTTTTCTCAGCATATCAATGGAAAAAAGTAAAACCATTAAAGCGGCATAAATGAGAACAGAGAGATTGATAGAAACAATATGAGAGTATAGAAAGAAATTTTAATGGAGAAATATACCTTCGAAGACAAAGAGAGAACAGATCTAAGCGCGAAGCCCTGCCCGTATAAATTCTAGCTGTCAAGCAAAATGCGACTAGGCATCCCTCGAATCCTAGCTGACAACAACATGAGAACAAATATAAGGTTTGCACAAATGAAAATTTTTGTCCCTCGTATTTGGTTGCATAGTTCAACTCTGCAGGAGATCTGCAGTGAGAGATCACTAGTGCTGGAAGTGCATAACCAGGGTAATTATTTAACCGCATCCCTTTTTATTTAGGGCTGCGGTGGGCTCCGGCGCAATTTAAACTCTGCATTCAATTATGAACTTATATTCTGAATTACGCACAAGCCACACAGTTTATTTCTGTTATAATTTTAAATCTGCGCAACCGTCAAGTTGACGTGTTAATAAACAGCTTTTATTACAAACCTTCACATTGAGACGTGGTACCTGTAGTTAGATAGTAAGCCTTACCTTAACATAGTTAGACGTTATGTTACATTACTCACGTTAGTGCCTTTACGATAACTGTTTAAGTTACATAGTAAGTTGTAGCAATCACGTGGTGGTATGCGAGCACGGTGCTTCTTGGTATGTTGCTGCTTGCTCGTTTCGCCATCTATTAGCACGAATGAGAAGTACAGCAGTTCACGAGTTTTGCATACCCTTGAAGATAATAATGACATTAGGATTCGATCTTGGGTCTGTCGTCATATGGCAGTCGAATATCATACTGCTGTTGCAAAAGAGCTTCCTAGCGACATAATTCTGGTATTCGAACTGCTTTGTAATGCAAGCATTTTAATTAGCTCTCAAGATCGCTACTAAGTCGTAGTTAGACAGTAAGCCGCTTCACAATAAGTCTTTACGGTTCTAGTTGGTTTGGCACTTTCAAGTATTGAAGGACCATTTAAAATGAGGAATTTTTTGTATTGTTGAAAAGGAAGACAAAAATACATAATACTCATAGTTTGAACCCTCGTGTATCATTTTACCACGTAACGTCAAAGCAAAAACATGAGCTATTTTACAGGAGTTCTTTATTTAATTTTTTGTTTCATTTCTCGGCGGTTTTGGCAATAGATAGCAAAATATTTTCGAATCAAATTTTGTACGAAGCTCAGTAAATTTCTTCTTTCCTCCTCCGATTTCTGACATATTTCGTACAACTTTTGGATAAATGTTTTCGAATGGCACTTTTTTTTTTTTTTTTTTTGGAACCTGATTGAATTTGATTTGAAAATGACAAGCATTCGAGAATAATAATTATTTCTTCTTCTTCTCAAGGCACTCCAGGTCAACTCCTCAAATTATCCCGAGAGCAAATAGAGGCAAAACGGCATAAAATCTTAAAAATTTTAAAACTTAATGCAGGAAAATCATCGCTTAATAATGAAAGACCTCTCAAATAACAATAGAATGAGATATGAAATTTAACAATAAATTTCATCAGAAAATTTTAAAATACTAAATCTGCGTCACAATGGCGCGAAGTCGACTTTGTCTACCGTCGAAGTCGTGTTACTCTACGTGCCAAAGTATTTAAAGTAAGATTATAATTTATTTTCCATTTTCAGAAAATACATTAAAAGAAATTTTTGATGAAATCTTTTTTATTGCACTCTAACTAAAAGTCATTACATACTATAATAACGGAAAATGAGGTAGGCCAGGTGATTGGATACTTTCTTAAATTATCTTAAACATAACGTCAAAAAATCATACTCGTACAGGAAATTTTGTTTCCACCATGGATATCATATATGAATTTGTTAAATCGTACGGGTAGATTATAAATATCTTTTGAAGTACGAATTTAAAATCACTTGAAACGTGAAATTCAAAAACAGATTTCAAAATTCATCCCAGAAGTTTTATTACTTATTAGATAACATTTAATGTCAAAATATAGTTATCAAATCTGCGCTTGTTTTTCATAAATTCATAACACAAACCCATTTCGAAATTTATTTCGGAAGTTTTATTATTCAATGCAACATTTGCATACGCAATCTTATAGGTTATCATTTTTTATGCTAATAATGGTAATGGGTTAGGAAAAGGGCATATACTTTGAACTCAAGAAAGATGATAACAATGATTTCGAAAGAAAATATTGAACTAAGCTTAATAATTGCTTAATTAACATAAAGTATAACAAGGTCATCAAAAAATGAAAGTTTTTGATTTATTAGTAACAATAATAAGGGCACTCTAAATTAAGGGGATTCAAATTTGGGTTGCTCCGTCCATTTGTTTTCTCCCTTCTTGTTCAAAATACTCTGTCTAGAAAATTCAAATTTAGAGAGTATAAAAGATATCCAAATACTCTTAATGATGCAGGTAGTTGATTAATTTTTCTTCTTTTGCCAATTGCTTACTTAAAATTTAAGTGCCTTCTCTAACTGCAACACCATGAATGTAATTTATGTTTGAATAGATTTTGCGAAATGCATGACGAATTTTTTCGAATTTACCACTTCGATATCAGTTTGTTAAGAACAAAATTATTTTAGTTTAATATACCTATGGATTGGGAAGCTTAGAGGAATATTAAATTGCCATATCGGAAACTTGTAGATAACTCACATGTGATAGTTTATCTGAAAAGACAAGGCAACGAGAAGTTGGTTAATTTATTTATTAGAATAATTTATATTTTTATTTATTTTTAGTAATTTATTTATTTATTTATTTTATAAAGTTGTTCTGCAGAGTATTCTGTGCAGTTTTTGAAGTTAATGTTTGGTGTTCCCTTTAGGCATTTTTCCGATACATTTAAAAGCCAGACGAAGGCTGGTCGCGTGGGGGCTAGTTATAAAATAAAAGAAGTAAACAAAAAAACTGATAAGCATTTGGTCTCTTGAAACATCAAAACTGATCTACCAAACAAATGCAAACGTGATATATTTATTGGATCCGTAAGCTTTGCTATTTGTATTTTTCAGTAAATTTTTTTTTAATTTTAGAATTCTACGAGGGCTATCCAGAAAGTAGATTACGTTTTGGAATAAAAAAATAAACAAAGTATAGGAAACAAATTTTATTATATACAGATGAAAGCCACACTCAAATACTACTTTTCTACATAGTCACCATACAAATTAAGGCATTTATCGTAGCGATGTACGAGCTTGGAAATTCCTTCGTCGAAAAATTCGGCCGCCTGCGCCTTCAACCACTTCGTTACCTCTTCTTGCCTTCCATCTTGCACAAAACTTGTGGTAACCAAGCTTTTCGCTGATGATTTCGTGCAACAAACTTCGCGAAATTTGTGGAAAACTCAAAGAAAGTTCCGTTATTGTGAAATTTCGATTTTCACGGACTTTAGCATCGACTTTTTCGAGAAGTTTCGGGCGGTCACTATGCTGGGTCTCCCACTTCGATCTTCGTCGTGAACATTGGTTCGGCCATTTTGAAATCTTATGACCCACTGACGCACTCCACCTTCAGTGATAATGTTGTCCCCATACACTTCACGAAGCTGCCGATAGATTTCTATCGGTTTACAGTTTTTTGCAGTCAGAAACCTTATTACTGAGCGCACCTCGCAGCTCGCGGGATTTTCAATTAACGCAGACATTTCAAACCGTCACAGTATCTGAACGGAGCACAGCACGAACCTCTCACTAGCACGGCTAGATGCAGACTGAGCTGCGCAACGCTCTGACCCCAAGATGGCCGCGCTAGCCCCGCCCCTAGCGGACACAGACGGAAACTTAATCTACTTCCTGGATGGCCCTCGTATAATATAAACTTCTATAATAACTATGAAACAGTAGTTCATCTGAACACTTTAAAGCTTTCTACAACTGAAGTATAGCAGGGATACATAATTCCTAAAATTAATTTACCATATTTGCTATTACGCAATTGATGACCTTCAACTAAATATTTGCATAATTTGTTCGGCCTTCTTAAGTTTGTGAAAGTTTATCTCAGTCTATCTAGCAAAACATTGTTTTGGCCTGGAGCATAAAAATAAGGTGATTTAGAGCGTTCCCTTTTTTTTTTTTTTTTTTTAGATAAAATCTCAATTAAGACCTCATTATCTCATAGGCTAACAAAGCCAGAACTAGGACCCCTGTCATTAGGGCATTCGCAAATAACCCTGCTGTTTCTCCTATTCTTGTTTCTCCAACATAAAATCAAAACACTTATGAGTTTGGAACCCCTGAAAGAATACTATGCCTACGCAGAGTAGCTTAATCGGGTCTACATAGTGATAAAAATTTCTAGCAGTGACAGTTCCTCATTAACGTTAACGTTAAAACTCAAGCACCTGATCAAGTTAATATTTTTGACCCAATATGAGCGTGTTACACAGTTCCCTCATAAACTAGATATTGACAGAAAATTGTAAGTAAATATATATATATATTAACTTACCTAAAGCAGCTAAGGTACTAACGAAAGTCATAGTAATACTGAGATTGAGATTGCCACCCAAGAGGACAGTCCACATATTGCTGGCGCCCCCTCCCGGGCTGCAGCCGAATGTAAACAATCCTAAACGTAGAACAGGATCTTCAAACAAGAGATATCCAACTCCGTAGGAAACCTTAAAAACGTAAATAATATTTAGTTATTAGAAGGCAAGTTAGTGAGCTCTGGAATTGTTTTGAAGCTTAAACGCCATGACAGTTGCAGTTAAATTATATGAATTATTTTCTATTAATTTTTCATCATGATATAAATTGTTTATAATTTAATAGACATACATTTATGTAATGTGACACTCTGAAAGCGAAATACAATTAGATAAAAATAATGTATTACTGAAAAAAATTATAAGTCCTGAATTTATTTGAAATACCTCGCTCTGTAATTTATGAATTGCTTTTCCCCGATCTAAAAAGGTACATGTGACTGCTGGCAAAAAGTTAAATGAATGCTACTGAAACCAACACACAGATTATGACATTGTGGATACAGAGTCAAATTAGCGCCTATTAGGAGCTTTGATTTTTAGGAAATACAAAATAATCAAAAAGTGGTATTCAATCCTTTTGATATTTTTCCGTCTAAAAGCATTACAAGATAGAATTACAAGATAGAATTATGCTTCGACGTCATTCGCAGAAATGAGTTCGATATAAGGCAAGGACTTCTCTTGCAAGAAGTTCCGAACCTGCTCAAGGAAATCATTCTTCATCGTCACCATTAACGTCTTTCAAGAGACCAAATGCTTATCTGCCTTTGGAAATTCACTAACGTGAACACAAAAGGAAACGATTGATCCCCAGCGGTTTGCACTATCCGACAAGACAGACGGAAAATAAGAGAGGATTCGATGGTGATGTACCGTAGCTTCTTTGATAAATACACAAAAGTCGTTCAAAGGAGCCTGAGAATCAATCTCCAAACCCACCAAGTCTTGACAGTAAGCAAAGTGTAATAAAATACGAATGCATTTTTGTCTAAAATCATTCACCTGACTGTTCTCGGCCTCACATGATGCAATCTTCGAAAACAGTCAACTAAAAAAATGAAACCGTTATGCATTGTCCATTAAAAACGAATTCACTCTGCCAATTCTTTTGCAGACGTAGAAGACAATGAAAATTGTCTTAATTTCTGATTTCGACCAATGAATTTTTTACCAATGAATTTTGCTAATTTGTTCTATCAACTTATTTCCGCATGGATTCAGCGTCTTCCAAGATACCCGTATCTTATCACCCATAGCATTATTACTCCTGATATTAGAGTTCTTTCAATTGCAGTAGTCACGTTGGCAATTTAGGTAATATTAACTTAGCTTGATTAACTTCAGGCTGTAAAGTTGGGTTACATACGACAAAGTTGTTGACAGCCGGGGATTTATGACAATAGCTTCACTTTCATTTTTTAGTTCTTAACTGATAAATAATAATAATTGCCGAACAGGTTTATTCTTACTGAGATTAAAGATTTAAATGGAATGATGCTATGTGATTTAAATAATGCGCAGAAGCACGTAAGTTTAAATTGTTTACTTTATAATAAGAGAGTTACACTTTACATAATGGAAAAAAAAAATAATAATGGCTATCTCAGCGCACTGTCTGTTTATCATAAAACTCAATAAGAGAAACAAGACATCCGGGTGTTTTTCCCAGGCATCAAATGTTATTTTAAAAATCATACAATTATGTGTTTTAATTCTAACTTTCACACTATTACGAAAGTTGATCGACAAGGCTAAGATAGACATAAACAATGTACTAAATATAAACATTAATCAAAAGCCAGAAACATAACTTGACAAAACTGCATACGTTAACATGATGAGTCAGGCGGCTATTTTTTCTATTCGGAAACGGCTGACGCATTATTATAACATTTAGTTTGAATTTTAAATTATAAGCACATTGCAGAAACATAATAAAAATACAGCTCCATCATCAATATACCTTCGGTTCACACACATTTATCAGTCAGAAGTGATCTTATTTATGCAAATCAGAAATCCTCACATGTGTTGATAGAATAATAGAATCCATAAAATGTTTGTAAGCATAGCTGGCGCTTAAAGACGTTGGTTTGAAATGCACTGTTCTATTTATACGTAAATATGGTTTCCCAATAAATACATCAGAAAATTTTTGACATTTGCAGCAACTTAAAAAAAAGGAGCAAATAAGGACCACCCTGCAAACATTTAAAAAAAAAAAAAAAACACCCTTCATGAAGTTAAGCATATCACGAGTCTATAAACTATATGCAGCTTCTAATCTCTTTTACCGTTTGTGCCATCTTAAAATAAGCGTAAATATCTTGTTAAAAAGTTAAATTTTGAGCCGGTAAAAGCCCACAGTATAATGCAGATTTCGTATGGTATAGACAACAAACAGGTTTAATTATGTCACTATTATAATTTTGCAGTTACTCCCTGTTGTTAGTATACGATTATGACAAAGCCTCGAGGGCTATCCGCCTAAGGGAAGGGATGCCTTTGTGGATGACTTTCTAAGGGAAACTGGCTCGTATACACGTTAAACATGGGGAAAACCACGAAAACACCCATGCAGCCAGCCGTTCGCGGGATTCGAACCTCGAACCGAACTACCAGTGTTATGAATGATACAGCAAATCTTAAATAACACCCTATTGCCCCAGAATAAAATGTCTCTATTTTTATATAAGCTGCTCCTGAAAAGAGCAAACGAAAACCGTGAAAAAAAATTTGGATTATTGATATGTAATTTAGATTTTTAATGCAAAATTTCCAAGGTTCTATAATTTATACAAACATGCTACTTTGGTTAAATGAAATTTTATGATTGACTATTATTCAGAGGCTGTTCGCACATTTTTTAAATGACTTTTATTGTAATTGCAGAAACATTTTACTTAAACTTTTTATGTTTTAAATGTTCTGTTTGATAACCCTTATTCTTTACTATCATCGTACACCGTAATTTCCACGACAATAAAGCCTTTTGCTAGTATCGGAAGAGGTATTCCGTCCAATTGCTCTCGAACAGCTTTCCAAAATCTAAGAAGGTTGTAGGTTGACGTTTGAACAGTCCGCTTTATATAAAAGTCCAAAAGCCGAAAATTACATCGGTGATAGAATAGGAGATTTAGTAGGTATATAAAAGAAGGGTATGGCTTTGATACCCGTTACTTGTTCCATTTTCCTCAGGAAATTAACAGTAGATTTTGAAGTGTCGTTACTTGTTTTGTCTTAAAGCAGTTCGAATGATTGATTGCACTGTGTGTAAAGAGAAGGTATATTATTTTTGAAAATTGGATACAAAATATGTTTTCGGTAACATGTGGAGTTAATATGAAAATTTTTCTCCAATTTCTTTACTTTTAATTTGTCGTTATATGAAAAACCAGCAACAATCATAAATCCCCTAGAAAAACTTTCTTTAGATTCTTTGAACCATGTTCTACGATTTTTTTTTCTTATCTTTGATGATAATAAATAAATCTCTTTTTAATGCAATCATTTAAGTATATTCAAGATTCGTGTACTGTGACAACATTTTTGTTCGCATAAATGTTTCTCATAAAGAATTCTGCAGCGCGTCCTGCGTTCGGCGATATGTCGTAGAAAAAGATGACGCGCATTATGTTTTTTCTGATTCAAATCAGAAAGATTTTAAGATTCAAATCAGCATTAATCACTTTTACTGTTGTGTCGTTACTTGTTTTGTCTTAAAGCAGTTCGAATGATTGATTGCACTGTGTGTAAAGAGAAGGTATATTATTTTTGAAAATTGGATACAAAATATGTTTTCGGTAACATGTGGAGTTAATATGAAAATTTTTCTCCAATTTCTTTACTTTTAATTTGTCGTTATATGAAAAACCAGCAACAATCATAAATCCCCTAGAAAAACTTTCTTTAGATTCTTTGAACCATGTTCTACGATTTTTTTTCTTATCTTTGATGATAATAAATAAATCTCTTTTTAATGCAATCATTTAAGTATATTCAAGATTCGTGTACTGTGACAACATTTTTGTTCGCATAAATGTTTCTCATAAAGAATTCTGCAGCGCGTCCTGCGTTCGGCGATATGTCGTAGAAAAAGATGATGCGCATTATGTTTTTTCTGATTCAAATCAGAAAGATTTTAAGATTCAAATCAGCATTAATCACTTTGTTTAGAGATACTGAGCATTTTAATAATGTTGCAACCGTCCTCTGACTTGGCAGATTTTTTTTTAGCATTAAAGATCTTAATTTTACAACATTTGAAAAATTCCGTTTCCCCCCATCCTTCCTTGGCTAAATATTTGGGACACATTTTCCACTTGAAGCTAACTTTTGACGTTTTATTATTTCTTATTGACAACATTACCTATCGCCCCTTCAAATATCAGCATTAACTATCGTAGATTCAGATAGCTTTCACAGCGTTTTTTAATAACTAGATACGAATAATTGTCTTAAAAAACAAACACATAGCCTTCCGTCCATTGCTTCTTTAAAAGCGGCATTTTGCGTGAAAACAAAACTATCAAGTAGTGGAGGATAATTTATACTTTCAAAAATATAGCTGCAGTTAAAAGTTTTTTTTTTTAACAACAAAGCAAAATTATCTAAAAAATGATGTGCGAATAACTTCTGTATGTTACAGCGAAACAATCGTATGGAATGCATTTACCACGTTGCAAATATAAAGTAAAATTTATGCTAATTCTTTGTTATCAGTACGTAAGTTTTTGTATCAGTGCATAAAAATTACCATTTCTTTCCTTTTTTTATTAATCACTTTTAATTTTTTATTTGTAATGTGAGTAATACGTATAACAATCTAGTGTTTTGCGCTCTTTGCTGAATCATTTCTCTGACACAGAAATGATTCAGCATTGTGCACAGACGATAAATTTAGGCAGATGCGGTACCTCATATACATTTTCTGTTCCCTGTGATTTTCTTCCTTAATTTTTTATTTCTCCAGCTCATCTTTTTGTAAGAAAACAGTATATAAAGCATGTAAGTATTCAAATATGTACTAATCTGTTCTTTCTATTATTAGTAAGATCATGAGGTAATATCTCTCCCTTACCCGCATGCTTTCGTGGTGTAATTGGTGGCACGTTCGATACATATCCGGG